TCAGTATGTCATCTGATCCAGCATGCTGTGGTTCTGCTCAAAACACTGGTTATGGTGAGTATTAATGTAGTGACCTCTGACTGTGTTCTCATACATCAATGTCTCTGCTCACACCACACACACAGTTCTTCTGATGGAGCTGTGTGTTTAAGGCAAATTGGGAACTAGAACTTTAGGAAATGAAAGTTGAATGTTTTTCAATGTTGCTTTTAATATCCACCAGAGGGTGCTGTTATAGAAGGGTAATGCTTATGGTTATATATTTACTGTGATCAATTGATGTCTAATACCTTGTAGAAATTATTTGATAAAGTTGTAAATAAAAGATTATTGGAGTATGTTTTACAAGAAAATCCTAATTCAGCTTTTCCACTTCAAAGTCTCATGTTATGTCTTTGTGATTGTGAAATTTACCAGAATATTCTGAGTTAAAATTGATTCTGCTATACTGTAGTTGGGTAATCTCTGCATTAACGCTCATGTGATTGTGGTCTGCTTGTTTTGAAGCTTTTGGAGCTGTGCAGATCGGTGAAGGATGATGCGCTGAAGGTGGTCGATGACTTCAACATCCCGTCCTGCTGCATCCAGGCCCCTATCGCTGGAGTCGCCAATCCCAGGGCCGAATGGGCCTTCTACCCACAGCCACAGTATCCCAGCAGCACCCAACCTCTGTCAAAGCTCTGAATGAGAGAATAAGCATGGCTTTATGAGGATGTGGAAGAACAATTAAGTGATTTCAGGTTGCTGGTCTCAATGGTTTCCATTTTCTTTCACATTGGTTGGGAGAGATTAAGGACTAATTGGAGGTGGTCAATGCACTTACGAATGCATAGCTGACGTTTAATGATTAAGCATCATGCTTTGTGCCAAGAAGAATGGTAGAACTTGCCAAGGCCTTAAGAAAATGGCATATACTCTAGGCACAACACTACATTTTCTTGTTCACTCTTAAAAATAAAGGTTCCAAAGGGGTGCGTTCGCAACAATGCCATAGAAGAACCAATTTGGGGTTCCACAAAGAACCTTTCGGTGAATGATTCTTTAAAGAACCATTTGTTAGTGTGAAGAACATCTAAAGAACCTTATTTAACATTCAAATAACTTTTGTCCAATAGAAAAAACCTTCCTTGAAATGTTAAAGATTCTTCTTGGAACCAAAGATGCCAATAAAGAAGCTTTCATTGAACATCTCTTAACCATTTTTCCTTAGTGTGAAGAGCATCTAAAGAACCTTATTGCACTATAAACAGCCTACTGTCCAATGGGAAAGTTCCATGGATGTTAAGAGTTCTTCAGAGAACCATCAATAAAGAACCTTTATTTTTAAGAGTGTATGTAGAAGGGAATTTCAGTTATACGAGTTGCACATTATGTCTATCATACAATATGTTTTCTTAAATTCTTCAGAGATTTTATCTGAATTGATTTCAAATAAACACCAGCCAAGCATCTCGCATTTACAGAGGAGCCCCGATAGCCTGGATCTGAGCTATAACAGCATAAAGAAGTGCCAAAAGGTAGTGCAAAAAGCCCAAAAAGAAGTTAAAGAAGTGCAAACGCCCAAATGTAATTAGTCATCACATGACACACAGTTAATGAATATTTATGCAATTGTACATACATTGAGTAACAGTAAGTGCACTACAATGTTGGACAGACAATAATATATTACTGCAGCTATAGTTTTTAATGCTACTATCAACTGCCATAATTTGACCTTTATTTAAAAGGTAAACAATTCGATCACAGGTTCTAATGTAGTTCAAATCTGCTCAGTCTGGGTCTTGGATGGATGTCCTTTTATGTCATTGCTGTACACTAAGTTTGGACCAAACTACCAATTGTCTTATTCAAGTTTTCTTTTCACAAAAAAAAAACATCAGTTTGTTATTAAAGTCCGCAAAGAACAGCAACATGGAAGTTCCTTAATGTTCTGCAAAAAAATTAAAAATAAGTTGCATTCCCTTATATTTCCAGATTTTCTGCACTCGTCAATGTAAACTAATGGAAGACTGGATATATTTAGAGCTATTTTCTTAATCGTCTTTGTGTGTAAAAGGTGCATGTTGTCATATTGTGCCACAAACTGGATAATTTAATTAATAACAAAATAAAATGCATACCAAATACTTGTATTGCAAGCGTAAACCTAGCTTGTATTGCATGCAGAAACATTACATTGTTTCAAAACGCCCATGCGTCACTTGTGACTTGTGAAAAAACATTATTCAACCAGACTGTACATGAAATATACCACACAAGAGACTAGCCCGTGCAAAAGAAGAGCTATAGTGCTTTTGTTCTAGTTTAATCTAAAGTGTTTGTGTACATTTGGAGCCTAATGGTGTGGTTTGACCATTACAAGCCCATCCCATGTGGGGCGTGGCTTCTCAGCTTTACTGCAAGGGTTTGCTTCAGTGAATAGACAGCAGAACAGCTCGCTCACTCTGCGCAGCAGACACAAGAGAGTGAGCCTCGGCGAGGAAGTGCACTTTAAGAAGACACCGAGACAAAAGAGAGACCATTCAGAACAATCCTGTGGACATTTTTCAAACAGGATCTTACATGACAGCTGCTCTAAGGGGAACAAATACATCGAGAGATTTAGAACCATCGATTGCCTGCTACTGGAATTGTGCTTTTTATTATTATTAATTTTTTTTACATCTGGATATTTCGACATTTTCCCTTCGTTTTGCTGTCTTTATCGCTCAGATGATGCGCTAACGCGTTTATGCCGCTGCGGATATGTCCGACACGTCCAGGTGAGTTCATACGCGCGGATCTTACCGTATACCGGCTTTCTTTAGGACAACTTTGCACTTTTCCCTTTTTTGCACAATATTGTAAATCAAAAAATATTGGATTATACGTTATTAATAAACGCGTTTTAACATGTGATCGCCGTGATTTAAAACCCATGAAAGGGTTTCGTAAAATCGGGTTATTAATTGGTTTATTTGTCAAGATCACCCTCGTGCTGGTATTTTATTCTAGCGAAGCATAACGCGCAAAACACAAAGTTGCGCGCGCGGCGTCGAGGGAGAAAAAAGTGAAACTTCAGATGCTTTACGCAAACAATGTCGCAAAGACAACACAAGTTGAGATGTGGTAGAGGAGTCGAATCCACTAAAATGCCTATACCTGTTGACATTTAACCAGAGTGAACAATTTAACAGTTTTGCAATGGATAACGACAGGCACCTGTTTGCTTTTTCCGCTATTCACCGAAAACAAGTCAAAATACGACGAAACCCGCGGTGGTTGTTGTTCTACAGTTCTACGCCAGGCGATACCCTGCGAGTGTAAAAGATAGCCTACATCTATCTATTCGCGCTTTAGGCTACTTTCGAAATAGGACTCGAAATGTTCCCGGCTGGAAAGAATGGCGATTTGGAACGTGCCGTGCGATATGTTTATTATTATTATTATTATTGTCTATTTATATTTAACGATCGTCTAGTCTGTCGGTCTGTTAGACTGATACTCGCATAACTTTGCGCTATTGTCTGCTTGCCTGAACACTTGGAGGCGTCGACGCGCTCCTATTAATAGGAAACTTTGTTTGGGTGCGCGTGTTATTGTTTCGCCGCCGCTCTCTCGATGAAAATAAATCGCTATAAAACTCCACGCTCGCACATCACCGATTACCGACAGTAGGATGTTGGCCATTATTGCTCGCTAACAAGTGAAAAGAAAGAAAGAAATAAAGATCGAGTTGCGTCAAAGTCCCCGCTCCTACAGTATTCATTACTGTCAGTAAATTGTTGCTCGCGGACAAGTGACATCGAAGCAAGATGTAAAGAAAACTGAAGAAAGAAACTGCGATCCAGTCGCGTGCGCGTTTCTAACTCATCTAAAGTAGCCTACTTATTAGTAGTGACTGACAAGTGCACGCGCAACAAATCCAGCGGTATGTGATACCACAACAACAACAACATAGCAGACGCAAGAGAGTGAGCCTCGGCGAGGAAGTGCACTTAAGAAGACACCGAGACAAAAGAGACCATTCAAAACAATCCTGTGGACAGTTTTCACACAGGATCGTATATGACAGCTGCTCCGAGGGAAACAAATACATCGAGAGATTTAGAGCCATCGATTGCCTGCTATTGGAATTGTGCTTTATTATTTTCACTTTTTTACAGCACTTCTGAAATCTCTGGATATTTCGAAATTTACCCTTCGTTTTCATTTTGTTGTCTATCGCTAAGATGATGCGTTAACGCGTTTTTGCCGCAGCGGATATGTCTGACACGTCCAGGTGAGTTCATACGCGCGTATCGTACAGTATGCCGGCTTTCTTTAGGACAGCTCTTTTGTTTGCACTTTTTTATTTTTTGCACAATATTGTCTTTCAGAACGGATTGCATGTTAATAACGTACGCGTTTTAACATTTGATCGCCGTGATTTAAAACCAATTAAGCTGTTTAGTAAAATCGGGTTATTCGTTTGTTTATTTGTCAAGATCACCTTGGATTATTTTTCGTGTTGATATTTTATGCTAGCGAAGCATAACGCGCAAAAAAAACTTTTCGCGAGGGCGAAAAAAGTGAAACTTCAGATGCGCGTCCAGCCAAACAATGTCGCAAAGACAACAAAAGTTGAGATGTAGTAGAGGAGTCCACTCCCCGCAGCGGCCCGTGCGTGTTGACATTTAACCAGAGTGAATAATTTAACTGTTAAATTATGGGTAACGACAGGCACCTGTTTGCGTTGCTTTCTTTTCCGTTATCCACTAAAAAATAAGTCTTAAAATACGATGAAAAGCTACGGTTGTTGTTGAAGTTCTACAGATGTACGCCAGGCGATACTCTACCAACGTGTGTAAACTATCGATTTATTCGCGCTTTACTTTCGAAATGAGACTCGAACTGTTCCCGGCTGGAAACAATGGCGATTTGGAACGTGCCGTGCGATACGTATTTATTATTATTATTATTGTTTGTTTATTTATTTTTAACGATCGTCAAATCGGTCGGTCTGCTGTTAGACCGATACTCGCGTTACTTTGCGCTATTGTCTGCTTGTCTGAACACTTGGAGGCGTCGACGCGCTCCTATTAGTAGGAAACTTTGTTTTGGTGCGCATATTGTTTCGCCGCCGCTCTCTCGTTGAAAATAAATCGCTATAAAACTCCGCGCTCGTTCAGTAGGCTACCGATGGCTGACAGTATAATGTTGAGCACAAGTGAAATTAAAGAAAGACATAAAGGCGTCGCGATTGCGTCGCGTTAAACTCCCCGCTCGTACAGTACAGTATTCATTAGCTACTGTCAGTAAAATGCTGACAAGTGATATCGAAGCAAGATTCGATCCAGTCGCAGCTGGCGCTCCTATAAAGTAGCCTACATATTAGTAGTGACTAACAAGTGCAGGGGCAACAAATACAGCGGTAAGCACGACGCAGTTTGTTCTATTTTTATAATTATTTAGTGTTTTATTTCTGTATTCGCCGCTGTTTTGTCATGCTAGCTCCGCGGTTTGTGCAAACCGGCATGACTGACGAAGCCGAACTGGTTTACGGAGAGCTGCGAGATGTGTTTTCACTTGAAAAAGCGCGACATAATAAACCCGTCTAGACCAGAACGATTAAACAAAAGTCGTGTAGACTCCGCTACAGCGCGTGCGGTATTCGACGCGACGCCTTCGCGCGTTCTTCAGTTGTATCCCACAATGTAGTGTTTTGCTGGAAGGAAGAAATAGGAAGTTGAAGTGGAGCTCGTTTGTGACGCACTTCGCCGAGTTTCCAAACGCATGCTAATCGCCACGAAATAGACTGGAAATTCAAAACCCGCCGCCAACAACCCACACAATTCCTCTTCGAATCGCCTGCAAAAGACAGTAATGAGTGTTTTGTTTGTTCAGCAGAGAGCAAACGCCGGGCCGGGGAAGCGGAGAGAGCGCCGGTGGCGCAGCCGTCTTAGGCTCCGGGCACTTTGACTTCCCTCAGCCGAGCGATGGGGACCCGTTAAGGGGAGGGATTGCCATGTCGAGTAGTCACCAGTCGAGGTCACCGATGTCCCGAACCTTCTCCAGGTCCTCTAGTGGCTATTTTTCCGTCGACAGCGATTCTGTGCCAAGTTCCCCGCTAATGCCCAATATTTCCGAAGCGCAAGACGGCCAAAATGATGGTAAGAGAGCCCCCTGGAGGGAAAAAAGGCTATATTTTGTGGTGTGTAAACACGACACTGACGCGACGAACAGCGAGGCTGTCATAACGGTTTTCTTTCAGCGGATTAGTCCGTTAAGAATTGGATCATTTCAAATTTGAAGCCGGCTGCGGGTTTCCCGCCCTTGTGTGACTGAGCTTTGAATCACACGCGCGCTCTTCTATGTTTTGACGAAATTAATCATTTATAATGATTGATTTTTGATCATTTTATGGCGATTAAAGTAAATGATTCGTTAAATTGTGTAATTTAAAAAACCTTATTCCCAAGGTCAAGGGGCAATTTGGTTTTGGGCCCCTGTGGGTCAGTGGACAGATATATAAAACATAGATTTTCTTTAAAAAAAATTATATTAGTGAAAATGTAATACATCAGTTATATGGTAAGCATGTTAATCAAACACATTAGAAAATGTTGGCAAAGAAAATCTAGCCATTTTATATATAGAGAGAGAGGAGGGGGTTCCCTGGGTCTGTGAAGTAAAGTAAAATAAAATAGACAATGACAGATTGTACAGGTGAAATAGAGGTGCATAAAAATCTTAATACAGTCACATCTCACTGTTTATGAATGTCATCCATGTAAGTGCTTTGGATGTTTAACTTGGCTCTCAGTTTTCCACATTAGCGCAGTGATAAGCATAATGTTTTGATGCTTGGCAGTGCACTTCTCTCGAGAATCTCTTCCAGAAAGCATGTTCTTCTCATTTAGAAGCAGCACAGATCTGCCTAAAGCCAAGTCGACTCATTTGTCTTTGTGTTAGCTGCTCTAAAAGAAGCAACCTGCATTTCCTCTCTGTTAACATCAGACTGTTCACTGCATTATGCATTCTGAAGCATGTGCTTGCACGTGCAAGAAGCTACTGCTCGGTTCATTCACAATATCTTGCAAACCCGGTGCACCTGAGACACATGACCACAGCGTGTGACCCATCTTCTCATAATGCCTCAGATGGAGTTGGCTGATTTGCCCATTGTCTTCTTGTTTACCTTCACTGTCACCGAGGCCTCAAGAAAGCGGTCGGAGAATCGGCCTTAGAGCATGCAGTCAAAATAGACTAGCCTGTCTTTTGTGAAGGCTAGACACGAGATCCAACCATCTCGGTTTTCCCTATTGAGAGCCTGGAGATATGAGATGGCGATAATTGTCTTCCTGTAGCCACTCTTAATGGCAAAGACAAACAACGATAAGTTATCAGGGTTATCTCGACAGGAGAGTTCCTCTACCAGTGGCCTCTTGTTTATACCTTTAGCTGCTGCGTTGTGTTGGCACAAGGTCTTGAATTTACACATATGAACTCAGTGCCCTTTGTGCTCACCTCTTGTGGGTCAGAGGTGCTATTCTGTCCAAAGATAAATGAAGATGCGGTGATAAACAAACCCAGAACTGAGCACACAGTCATCTGAGCACTGCAATATTGATATAAATGTCCTCATTTGAAATGTTGTTGTTGGCTTTGTGTGGTAAAGGCCCGATAGAATGAGGTTAAAGTGTTGACTAAAGCTTTGAGATATTGGCTGGTTCAGTTCGTACAGGTCTAGCGGAGTTGTGAAAGGAAATGAATATCCAATGGTCCTAATATGATTGAGCACGAGAAAAAACAGTCAAACTGCTTCTCGCTTGAGTCATAGCGCGAGATCAATTTGAGTTCAAACAGAATTTGGGTGATATTAGTGTTTAGCCTCATAATAACCTCTGTGGTTCAGCTACTGTCTTACAACCGACAGAAGGTGTAACTTTAGCACAGTTGGCAAATATTTAATCATGATCGTGGCTGTGGAAAAACCAAACCAGAGGTTTGCAGAGGAGGCTGTTTGCACCAGACGATGCTATGCGATATACAAGAGTAGAGGTTTGTTCGAAAAATGGTGTCCTGCATGGCATGGACTTGACTGTTTTCATGAAATTAAGCTTATTTGCTATCTTAATCCTGGCCTTGACAGTATGAAGACAGTGTGAACTCTGCTTCTTGAAAGAAGAAGAAAAAAGTTGAGGGATGAATTAAAATAAGAAATATCTTGATTTGTAGTTGTTTTAAATGCTTGTTTGTCTCATTTGAATTCAAATAGTCCTATCCTCAAGTCTCTAAATACTGTATGACCCGGTCCCTTATTCTTAATCCTGGCCTTCACAATTCAACTGTGCACAAAAGCTTGTTTTCGTAATCTTTAATCAAAATGTAATGACTTTAAACTGACATTTTCAGATGACGTCACAAATCATTCCTATTGCATTGCAAAAAAATCAGATGTATCTGTTTTAGACTCACCTTTACTTTAGACATTGTCTTAAGATAAAAGGGACATTTCATTATTATTTGTAATTTTTAAATCACCTAATTTTAGTATTTAAAAAAAACTTGTCCACTGTAATTATTTTATTATTATTATTGCAATGCATTTTACAAAACAAACAAAAAAAAAAATATATATATATATATATACACACACATGTCATTCCACTTCAGAATTATGTTTAAATTCAATGTTGCTTGCCATTTCTTTGTAATTAATTGTGAATTGAAATTGAAATTTCTGAGTGAAAATTGTTTCCACACCAATTATTTTTTTAGTGTTCTGTATTGCAAATAAGTTTTCAAATAAAAAAATAAAACAGATTCATCTTTGATAGACTTCCCTTTACTTTGGACATTAAGGCATTTTGTTATTATTTTTAGTGTTTGAAAAAAGTATCTTTTTTGATACTGTGTGTATATCAATAGCAATGAAAAACAAAATATTTTTTGCCCAGATTGCTCATCCCTATCATTTGAGGTTTGAATGAGCTTGTTTACAAAGTGTCTTAAAATTGAATTCCTTTGTCTTTCTCAGAGGTATGGTTTGCCGAACCTAGCCACCAGCACGCACAGATGGCGGCACCTGTGGGAGCCATGGGGCCGGAGATGGCGGTCGCTCGGGAGCTGCGGCGCATTGGAGACGAGTTCAACCGCCTGTACTGTCAGGGGGTGAGTAATATTCAGGTGACACCATAGGATCAAGCGCAGGAGATCGATGATGATGAAATATTTTCACTCGCTAGAGCAACTGCTTTCTTTGTCTGTCCAAGGGAGCCGGTTTGAATTTGCGTTTGGAAGCCGCCCCTCTCATATCAGAGTTTAAATCAGGTGTTGCAGAGAGGATCGCGCATACGAAAGCGGCATCGCAAGTCTCTGCAGATCAGGGCCTTAATGAGGGAAATGTTACTCTGCCACTGTAAAGGGAGCTTTATTTTCATAACTTGTATTTCTTAATGTTGCATCACTCCAGCAGCAGTCAAGGTTCTTCATAAAGAATCAAGGCTCCAAAGAATCCATTACTAGATTATACAATCATCAGAAACTGTTAATTAAGGGATTTAGGATCCCTCTTTGGAGTCCCACTTTTTTGGGGGATTTTATTTTATTTTATTAGAAAAAAATAATACAGTAGATATATACTATGTAAATATGCCATGAGAGACACCACTATATATGAAATGTGTCCAATCAGAATGAGGTATTCCGCTTAATAATCACACCATGCATTAATGAGCAATTAATACATTTGCTGTTTGTAATAAGATATGACCTCGTTAGATTAATGTCTAGGGCTGTATGACTCATCCTACGATTTTATAAGTTATGTTTATGCATTCCATATGCAAATATAGCCATGCTAGTACAGTCTGTTCACCTTTGGTTATCTATATGAACATTCAAACTTGTTTTCTCTTTTTGGTGACGTTGCTAGCTCTGATAAGATTCTGTTCTTGTATTGTATTGTTAAATCTGAGATAATTAATACCTCCGTTGAGGAATTATTGCCTTTCACCTCTTGGACTCCAGTACTGTGTCATGCTTCCTGTTTGGGCAGCCGTCCAGTTGGACACGGTTCTGTCTGCTAGTATTTGTGTTTATTATGTTGTGTCAGACCTTGCGCTCTTTTCTTAGCTTGTTATAGATTTGGAAACTGGCGAATGTTGCTTTGAGGATTTTAAGTTGAACAGTTTCTCGTAGTCGCTTTCTGTAGGAGTGTAAACAGACAGAGTTTTGATTGAGGTCATCTCTGTGAGCTCAGTATGCAAATAAAGCCTTATCTACTCGGGCTATTGTTGTTTGGTTATTGCTGTGGAAAATTACCTTAAATAATGACTAAGTGAGCAAGACCTGCAAACCTCTTGAAAGATATACCTGTAGGCAAGAGACCAGACATGCTTATAAACAGCTCAACGGTACATTTATTAGTGTGCTTGTTAAGGCAACAGTTACCATTTATTGCTCATACTTTAGGTTAAGT